CTAGCGTTTGAGGATTCCTCCGAGGGTGTGTGCGGAAATAAATTTCTCAACCTCTCGAAGGCTTGTTCAATTTCGGGGTTTGTTTGGTAAGTAAGTTTGTTTATAGAATGAGTTTTTACCATATACTTATGTAAGCTCAGAAATAGAAAAAGTAAGAACTCTTTGTATTTATATATATATATATATATATATATATATATATATATATATATATATATATATATATACACAAATGATCCTGTCCGGACGTCCGGACAGGAACCTCCGTCCGACCGGCGGCGTTTGGCCGCCTTCCCGGTGGAATTTTTTGATGAAATTTTTATGGCATGTTCTCCATCAAGTCTAGTTTATCCACAAAAAAATTCAGCCAAAAACTCAATCGGGAAGGTCGTCAAATGATTTTTGCAAGTTAACTGGTCCCGAATATGTATTTTCCGGACCAGTTAACTTGCAAAAATCATTTGACGACCTTCCCGATTGAGTTTTTGGCTGAATTTTTTTGTGGATAAACTAGACTTGATGGAGAACATGCCATAAAAATGTCATCAAAAAATTCCACCGGGAAGGCGGCCAAACGCCGCCGGCCGGACGGCGGTTCCTGTCCGGACGTCCGGACAGGATCAGGACTCTATATATATATATATATATATATATATATATATATATATATTTTCTTAAAATAAAATAAAAAGAAAAATAATTGCCTTTCCCCGGCAACGGCGCCAAATTTGACGTGCACTTTGTCGTAACATGCACTCAAAATAATAATACAATACGACACTAATACGTAGTATAGTGTAGTAAGGTTTGTATCCACAGGGAAATGAACATTTTTCTTTTTATAGAAATAAATAAGTAATAGCAGGGGGGTTTTTATGTTTGGTTGATGAACTTAAATTATCTTTTTAACACGAAGATGAACGAGTTATGTGGTTTAATTAATGAGAAGGAGACTTGGCTTTGCTTTTATCCACTTAATGAAATGTTCGTCGATCCCGGTTATATCTTTAACTATCTTCCTCTCGAATACTCAATCGAGGAGTATATCCAATTCATCGAGGGTAGTTATTAATAACGAGACGCGTTCATTAATAAAACTTACTATCGAGTTAATATAGAACGCGCGCCGTATATTCACTCGATAGTAGCAATAAGATCAAGATGAAAACGATTGAGATTGATAACCTCAACACAAGCGGTTTATTGGTTAAATCAATATAATTAATTACCCTTGGTTTATTAACCATGAAACACATGCATTAATAACCCAAGTTTACTACCGTGAAAGGACCGAATTAATAACAAGCGTATTAATCGACTGATTCTAGTAATAATTAATATATGAAACAAAACTAGTTGATCCTTTAAGTAATGTTAAAAATATTAATATGAAATATGAATAGGAATTAATTAATACTCAAGAAAGAATATTAAAGAAGATGAATCTTACTATAGTTAATATTAAGATGTTAACTAATTGTCATCTTAGTAACACTCCCCAATATTAACATAGAGGAAGGAATAACTATTACTATAATCAATGTCAAGATGTTAACTAATTGTCATCTTAGTAACACTCCCCAACATTGATATAGAAATAGTATTTAAAGAAAGAATTAATATTCAAGGAAGAAGATTAAAGAGAATAACTCACAACTTACAAATTCATTAAGCTTCAAAGTAGCAAAATCAAGATGGAAGGGTTTAGCTCCTCATTTGGAGACTAAACATGATAAGAATATAAAGAAAGTACTTAACTAAACTGAGCTAAAGAGTATATGTGAATTGGTGATTTTATTGTGAAGGAAAGGGGTGTATTTATAGGCTTTTGGGAGCTGGAGGGTCTAATACCCGACCGGGTATATAGGGTACCCGACCGGGTATCTCAGGAAATTGCCCAGAAAGTCATTTTTCTGGGCATACCCGATCGGGTAAGGGTATATACCCGATCGGGTATGTGACAAATCTTTATGAAAATTTGCTCCCACGATCATTTGTCTTCGGATTTGATTTGGACAGTCGAATCAAGCAATTACCCGATCGGGTATAGGCAATACCCGACCGGGTACATGAGTATTTTTTCCAAATCGAAATCTTTCTTGTCTCCTTGCACTTTCCTTGATCTTTTAAGGTCCAATCTTGATCCCTTAGATGATCTTTGAACTGTTTAGCTCAGAAAAATCCCAATCTAACTAAATTACAAATAAAAATGATAATAAAGTATTACACCAAAAGTGTATAATTTCCACAACTAGAACTAATAAACACTAGTTAAAAATACAAACATACACTCGGAAATTACACGAATATCACTATAGAAGAGGCCCCTCCTGCCTACAATAATACGGAGTACATTGAATTCATACAAAGGACAAATGAGTATGGGGTAGCACTACTAAAATGACAAATGACTATGACCCATTAGCTCCTAAATAATATATATGATGTACAGGATATGAACGAGCTATCAAGGAAGAAAATACAACTGAAATAGTAGAAACAATAATAGCACGTAGAAACAATAATAGCTTGTAGACTTCTAACACCCCCCCTCAAGTTGGAGCATGGGGATCTAAAATGCCCAACTTGCGAAGAAGAACATGAAACTGTGTTTTCCCAAGTGCTTTTGTAATACTATCTGCTAACTGGAAAGTAGTAGGCACATAAGAGGGAGATATCACACCCTCTTGAACAGCATCACGGACAAAATGACAGTCAACCTCAATGTGTTTGGTGTGTTCATGAAAGACCGGATTCTGAGCAATATGAATAGCTGACTGGCTGTCGAAAAAACAATGGAATTGTCTGTGTATGATGAATACCCAAGCTAAGAAGCAATGCTTTTAACCATTTTAATTCACATGTGGCGGCAACCATTGAGCGGTACTCAGCTTCTGCAGAAGAACGTGAAACTGTTTGTTGTTTCTTGGTTTTCCACGAAATGGGGGGAATGACCAAGAAACACAATCCAACCAGATAAAGACCGTCTAGAGATAGGACATGCTGCCCAGTCAGAGTCACACCATCCCTGTAAAGTTAGTGTATTATCAGCTTTGAGAAGAATTCCCTGACCAGGAGACCCCTTTAAATAACGAATGACACGCAAAGCTGCATCCCAATGCTCTTGCCGAGGTTGCTGCATAAATTGGGATAAAATATGCACTGAGTAAGTTAGATCTGGACGAGTTACTGCTAAATAAATAAGCCTGCCCAAAAGTCTCCGGTAAGGTTCTGGATCTGCAAGAAACACGCCAGATGCAGTAGATAAAGAGTGATTTTGCTCAATTGGAAATGTTGCTGGTTTGGCCCCTAACAACCCAGTTTCAGAAATAATATCCAATGTATATTTTCGTTGTGTAAGAAACAGTCCGGTCGGACTACAAGCGACTTCAATTCCTAAAAATTATTTTAAGGAACCTAAGTCTTTCATATGGAAACAAGAACTTAGGTAATCCTTAAAATCCTGGATCGCAGCGGAATCATTGCCAGAAATTACTAAATCATCAACATATACTAGGACATTTAACTGTATGTGACGCCGAGTATGAGTAAACAGAGAATAGTCAGCATAGGATTGAGAAAATCCATACTCTTTGAGTGCATGAACTAATTTGGCAAACCAGCATCGCGGGGCCTGCCTGAGGCCGTATAGAGACTTACGTAGTCAACAAACAAGTCCAGAATCTTTGGTGTGATAACCTGGAGGAAGAGTCATATAAACCTCTTCATGAAGATCGCCATGCAAAAAAGCATTATGAACATCCATCTGATGAAGTTCCCAATTTTTGGAAACTGCAACTGCTAAAAAAACACGAACAGTAACCATTTTAGCTACGGGGGCAAAAGTTTCATTATAATCTAGACCAGCTACTTGGCGATTACCGTAAACCACCAAACGAGCTTTTAAACGTTCAATGCTTCCATCAGAATGATATTTTATTTTATAAACCCAACGGCAACCCAGTGCGCGTTTCCCTGCCGAAAGTTTTTGTAAAGTCCATGTCTGGTTATCCTCAAGAGCCTTAATTTCGGATCTCATTGCATCACACCAACCACGATCAGTAGTGGCTTCACGAAAACTTTGTGGCTCATTGCCTGCAGTAATAGCCGCTAGGAAGATGCGGTGACGGTGAGAAATTTTTTCACAATTAACATAATGTGTTATAGGAAAATTCATACCTCAGGAAAGGGACGGAGAGGACGTCGTGGAGGATGGACTTTTACTAATGACCGTGTGATTGGTATAATCTCTTAGTTTCACATAAGGGAATTTTTGGCGCATACCACATCCCAAAAGACTGGTATTGTTGAATGTGGGTCCCAAATCGTCACTTGATATGGAAGAGTTCTGTACGGGTCCCATAGATTGATCACTAGAAGAAGATGCATGGGTTGGCTGCGTATTGGAATGCAAACCAAGATATGTATCATAGTCAATAATGTCTTCTGGTGATATCAATGATGTATCCAACGTGGGTTCCTTAACAATCAATTCTTTGAATGGAAATTCTTGTTCAAAGAATTTTACATCTCTTGAGACGAAGTATTCCATCCTTTCAAGATCAAATAAATACCATCCTTTTTTACCAAATGGGTACCCAACAAATACACATTTTTTACTCCGACTAGCAAATTTATCTCCTTTAGCTTTTTGGTTGTGAGCAAAGCACAAACATCCAAAAATGCGTAGATTCTTATATTCAGGCAAAACACCAAATAAAATTTCAAAATGTGTTTTATGTTGAAGTAATACTGAGGGTGTACGGTTAATCAGATGAGCAGCGGTAAGAACACATTCTCCCCAAAAAGATAAAGATAAGTTTCCTTGAAATCTTAAGGCTCGGGCAACATTTAGGATATATCGGTGTTTTCGTTCAACTCGTCCATTTTGTTGGGGTGTACCTACGCACGATGTATGAAAGACGATGCCATTTGTAGTAAAATAGTTTTTCAAGCAATTAAATTCGGTTCCATTATCACTACGAACTGTAGAGATTTTGCTCGAAAATTGACGATCAACCATTGCTACAAAAGACATAAACATATCATAAACTTCTGTTTTATCAACCAGCAAATATACCCAAACAGCACGCGAAAAATCATCAACTATTGTAGAGAAACTTTTAGCACCACAAGAAGAAGGGGTATTATACGGACCCCAAACATCACAATGAATAAGTTCAAATATTCTGGTAGTTTTATTTGTGCTCAAAGGAAAAGGGTTCCGAGTTTGTTTCGCCTTGACATATTTCACACGGGCTAGAAAGAAGCTTCTTCGGAACATTTTCAGGAAATAACCACTGTACAACATTTTCAGATGGATGTCCTAAACGTTGATGCCATAGATCCATAGGAGTAGTTACACTGTGGATTTGAAGTGTGGGTACGGTTTTATTGATACGATAATAGTAAAGTCCATCCTGTCGCTCACCCAGTTCAATCACTTTCCTCGATTGAAGGTCCTGTATAACACAAAAGTTAGAGAAAAATTTAACAAAACATTGAGTGTCATCAATCAGTTGTGATAGCGAAATTAAATTACAAGTCATTCCCGGAACGAATAGAACATTGGATAACCACAGATCATTTGATAAGCAAAGATACCCCACTTTGGTTGCAATAATTTGTTGACCATTAGGAAAACCAACTGTGCGTCCCGGAATTTCATGAATTTGAGAGAGATACTTCAAATTACCGGTAACATGATTAGAGGCTCCCGTATCAATTATCCACAAATTTGAGTCAAACTTACCAGACATTCTGTAAGGTGAAGCATTAGGACTACCGAGAGCTGCAACAATCGCCTGCCATTGGTCCAAAGAGAGGTTTGGTATCGGTGCAAGTTGCTGCGCAGGAGGCACGTTGGTTGAGTACGTGGATGTACCTCCAGCTGCTGCAGTCATGTACGTGGATGGTCCTCCAGATGCAGCAAACTTGTGTCCTTCACCTGACACGTCTCCAGACTTGCTCCCACCTTCTGCAGCAGTCGCATGGGCTCGAGCTGCTGGTTTCCGTGCTGGAAATTCTGCCCGTCCAGGTGCACTTTGTAAATAACGTGGCTTGTTTCCTGAAGTTTCAAGTAAACGCATAGCAAATTTCTTCCCAGTCTGAGAATTATTTTTGGGCCGTGTGCCCCACCAGTCTGGATAACCAATTATTTCAAAGCAGCTATGCAAGTCATGCCCCCGACTATTACAAAGAGTACAATAAAAGTTGGTTTTATCAAATTTATTTTCTATTTTCATTTTCCCCCGAGTATTGGTGCGGACAGCAAAACCCATTATTTCAGGTCGGATATCTCTATCTTTATTTTGTACAATGCCCCGTACCCTCTCTTCTTGAGATATTTGTTGAAAAGCTCTATTTAGTGTGGGAAGAGGTGTTTGGGAGAGAAGTTGAGAACGAACATTTCCATAAAAATCTGACGATAATCCCATCAAAAATTGATGAAAACGTTCCGACTCTCGTCGTTTTTCATGCAAGGAATTTACATTGCACGCACATTTTCCATAAGTGCAATTAATTAAGGGCTCATAGTTATTAAGCTCATCCCATAAGACCTTCAGTTTTCCATAATATGCAGCAACCGTCTGAGTTTTAGTTTGTTCACATCGGGAAATATCAGTTTTGACTTGATGAATTTTAGGTCCATCAACAAGTGAAAATCGTTCTTTCAAATCATCCCACAATAGTTTGGCATCATCAAATTTAGAGAGAGTAGATTTTACCTCAGATGAGATAGTGTTTAAAATCCATGAAACTAACATTGAGTGTATTGTCATCCAATCCTCTCCGGTATAAGGCGGCACCATTGCCATGATAACTCCATTAATGAAGCCAAACTTGCGTCTAGCACGAAGAGCAAGCCGAACAGAACTTGACCAATCTTCATAATTATCTCCAGTAAGTCGAACTGGTATAATAAAATCTCCGGGTCTATCTTGGGGTCCCAAAAAGAAGGGAGATGTATAATCCATTTTAGGTGTGGACGTATCTTCCTCACCAACAGCCATTGAAAGAGTATTAATTTAGAGAAGTAAGGATGGTGAAAAAGGAGGCTCTGATACCATGATAATTTGTAGGATTTGATAAAGGAAATATCAATCCCCCCTTGCCGGTAACATTGGCCAAGGGTCCATTTATATATTAAGTAGTACATACAAATAATAAAGGGCTATAGAAGAGGCCCCTCCTGCCTACAATAATACAGAGTACATTGAATTCATACAAAGGACAAATGAGTATGGGGTAGCACTACTAAAATGACAAATGACTATGACCCATTAGCTCCTAAATAATACGAGTATATATGATGTACAGGATATGAAGGAGCTATCAAGGAAGAAAATACAATTGAAATAGTAGAAACAATAATAGCACGTAGAAACAATAATAGCTTGTAGACTTCTAACAATTTGTAGTGGTGATGAGGACTCTAAGGACCTGTTTGTTTGGAAGGTTTTGAAGGGAAGGGGAGGGAAGGATTGATGCATGTTTGGTTGGAGGAAGTAGGGAAGGAGGGGAGGAAATAGGAAGACGGTTAAAATCCCCCAATGTCTCCCGTTTTGAGTCCTCCAATTGGGGTATTTCAGAGGACATTTGCGATACGCGCAGCGCGCTAGCTTTTTAATTGGAATTGACAAAACTGACCTTCACGCCCTAATTCCTTCTGCGCACCCTTTCCTCTGTCTGCTTCATTCTGCCCCGCTATCGCAGAATTGCCGATGCTCTCTCAAAAATAGCTCAACACTCGCCGCCTGAGAATCCACGACCGTCGAGTTCGCTGAACTGATCTGTGGGTTCACTGTTTTCTTTATACTCTCCTTTCGTCTATCCCTTCACCGGGAAATCTCGCCCATCGATCACTTCTCATTTTTTTTTAAAATCTCCACTTTTATTTTCAATTTTATTTTTGAAAGTAGTTAGTTATTCTCCATTCGCTCCTCGAATAAACAGATCAGGATGAAGAAGTATGTGGATATACGCTCATATTCTCATAAAACTCATAAATCGATTGATTTAGTTGATATCATTGGGATTAAAGGAGATATATTGTCATACCTAAGCTTGGGAGTTGTGTCGTGATTATTTCATTCGATGGCATAATTTTCTTAATATGATATGCTTTGTCTTTGGTGCAAGATTATTGTGATTATTTTGATTTTAATTAAGAAATTGCTTGAAGGATGAGTAAATCATAGACAAAAATTGCATGCCCTGGTACTATACGTAGGCAATTCTGTCTGTATGCTCAGCTGGAGGATTTGCATCAATTTTACATTGTGAGAAATTCAGAATTTTTTTCCCATAGGGGGTTCTACTAAAATGCTTCTATAATGCTAGTTTCTTTACTAATGTGTAAGATTTCACTCTTGGCTTGGTAGGCACTAGGCACCATTTCTGGAGTTTTTTTTTTTTTTTTATAATTTAACTACACATACCTAGTATTCCACTATTCCTATTTCCTAGTAAGTAGTAACATCTTTTGTCAAATATGATCCACAGTTTTTTTGGTTGAAAATATGAAAAGTAGGTTATGTTTCTAGTTTGAATGTGATAAGCATTGTCCAACCCATTGTTTTGAGATACACATGTATGAAGATGGTGGGGTGTTGGGGAAGCTTGGTATAATGAATGGATAAAATGGAATTAGAAAGAGAGTGAGGGGCAGGAATCCAGAAGGAATCAAAGAGGATAGATATTCTGCTTTTTATGTAGTTTGGGGTTTTGTTTAGAAGGGGGTGTTGAGTACTTGTGGGGTTTCTACTGCCTCTTTTTGTTTGTTGCTCCTTTTTTACTCGGCTTTTTTTGTTTGTTGCTACTTTTGCTTTTGAGTTGGATGGTTAGACCTACGTAGAGTACGGGGTGTTCAAAGTTGGTATTGGTGCACAGAAAAAGCCACAACATTTCAAATGGGAGTGGAGGGTCTGTTTCATATTTTCACCAGGCTTGTTTTTTGTACAGAACCAAACATTTCATAAGACACGTAAAATGTTGCATATGAGATGGAACAAATGAATATGTTATTGGAAAATTGCCTAAACCAAGAGTCTCAAATTTTGACATTCTAAAAACAGGAAGTGTTTCTCATTGTTTTTCCAAATGATTATTTAAAGTACCTAAAAATCAATGTTTTTTTATATTTCAAATTACTATGTTTTTTATTATTTAAAAACAGGAAGTGTTTCTACTCACAAACTATGTTTTTTTCTGTCTTTTCATCCACTACTATTTGATGATTATATGTGCAGTTTAAACTTTGAAGTACCTAAAATTCAATTACTGCCTTTTCATCCACTGCCTTTTCAATACTTGTTATGTCCTTGAACATTCAATTAACATTCACCTTCATGAATGCTAAACTTACCCGGTCCAGTCAAATTCTCAATTAACTTTTGCAAAAATCTATCACACTCCAACATCAAACTGATTCCAAGATTAGGCATTTCAGCCACGAGGCTCTGCTGACGTTTTAGTTCATCCAAAACTTCTGGTGAGCTTCCTAGCAAGAAAGCGCCAATATCTCCAAGCCAGACATATGAAATGTTGATGGGATTGGGCTTTCAACCGCCATTGATCCATGTTTATTATAGCAAACTTGTGATGAATGTGGATTTGCTTAATGTGGTGCTTGGTTGTCCAATGGAGTATCACAAGGATTTCATTCGAGGCACGTTTGGTTCTATGGAGCAGTCCTAGTTGTTCACCGAAGTTATCTACTTCATTGTCTACTATCTAATGCTTTGTAATTCACATTTGTGATGTGAAGACTATTTATGATTTGTGATATTGAACTTGAGATATGATGTTTGATATGCTATGGACATATATTTTGACTAGTATGTTATATATTTAGTTTGAACCTTATAATGACATTATGGTTATACTTGGATTGTATTACTTAGTTTATTTATTGTGTGAACAGTTTTAGTTTTGAAATCTTAATTTTATAGGTAAGAGCTTGTTTGAGGACTAAGCAGTTCATTTTTTTCTTTTGATTTTGAAATATTAGTTGTTTTTAAAAAATAAATCATATTTGGAAAAAAATAAGCTTTTTAGAGACTTGTATTTTTAATAGATTATTGTTTATAGTTTATCATGATTTTAAATAGTTTTTATTGTCGTAGACAATTTTTCAATTTTTATTACTCATGTTTAAAACTGTTTAATCAAAATAAAAATAATACTAGATTTTCTATCATATTATTTTCAAAACTGTTTATCATGTTTAGTCATATACATAGGATAAATCAAAATCGTATGATTTTACGATTATTGGCAATCCTTTTTGTTGTCGTAAAATCAAAATCGTATGATTTTAGTTGTCATTGGCAATCCTTTTTGTTAAAAACGTATTATTTAAAACATATCCTATTTCAACTTAATTAAAGTGTTGAGTCAAATCAAAATTTTGTTTTGTGTCAATTAGATCAAATATATATACGTATAAATCAATAATACGTAATTTTTCTATAATTAATCATAGTATTGTCAATGATAAGCTACTTATTAAACAAGGGTATATTAGGAAATTTATTTTATTAAACCTTCCTTCCCTTTCCTCCAACCAAACACAAATGCTACTTATAATCCTTCCTTCTCCTTCCTTCCCCTTCCCTCCTTAACTCCTCCCTCCCCTCCTTTGAACCAAATAGGGACTAAAATATTAAACATGGATTGTGTCCATCTAAAACAGTGTTTAGCTTCTATCAATATTGTTTTTCCATGCATTGGACCATTGTCAATAAAATAAACTTAACCTGTTTTTTTACATATCGTTTTTTTGAGAAATTTTCATATCAATTTAATAAAACATTAATTAAAGGGAAAATGGAAACTAATAATCCAACCTTTTAGCGGTCTTCTTACAATAATCCAACCTTTTGGTTATTCATGAATAATCCAACCTTTGCACCTCATCTTTATTCACTGGTCCCTGACCGGTTGATGTGTCACGCCCCGGACCGCGTCCGTGCCACGTAGACAACCGCCGTACAACCCAATAAGAACAACGTAGTTCATTCTTATTAAATCATACAAGGCGTCCGATAGATTTTATTGCCAAACTGATTAGTAAACCCATACAATCAACACCAATATATTACTCAAACAAATGCGGAAATAAAATATATTTGATGTTGAGCCACACGTGGCAAACATGAGCACGTAGGCCCTTTAATAGTTTGACAGAAAACCTTGTTCAAATATCCATGAGCAATTACATTGTTTCAAATGAGAATGGAAGCACGAACCACGTCTTCCTGATTGATGATCACCCTAGGCAAAGGTGCAGGATTAGGTCTCAAGCCTTAACCTGAAAAATGTGAGGGCCCCCGAAGGGGTCAGTACTCCATAGAAAGTACTAGTGACAAGCAGGCTATATGAGGAATAACTAATGTTTCAGACACGAGACCCAAAAATAGGATGATACATATATTTGTAGGTGTAACCATTGTTACCCCATTCCCAAGATAATACATACCGTATATACTTGTAAAATACTTGACCTTTTTTTTAAGAGGATTTTATTAATAAAAGGAAATAGTACCATGCAAAAAAGGAAATAAGAGAAAAAAAACATAAAAAGAGAAAAGAAAAAGAAAAAAATGAGCTACTCCCAAGGAAAATCTCTGGATTGTGACCTAGTCCTCATGCTGTGGCGCCTTTTATTTTTTTGAGATTTCCTGTAGATCTTAAGTTGCGTGTTAAGGTTGTCTGTTGGCAGACAATTTTCGGAAGTCACAAAATTTGCTTTGGAGCAAATTTCCTTGTTGAATTTGGATTTCCTAATTTCTTCGGGGTATGAAATAGGCGGACGACGGTCACTTTCAGTTGCATGTCCAACAAAGTCGTCTTCGAAGAAAGAGTCATCAGAATAATCAAAACTGTCAGAGGCGTCTGAGCAAGCCTGGATCCGTGGCAACTCAGGTTCTTTCTCTGAAGATATGACATTTTGATTTTCAGTGCATTGACCTTGAATCTGAGAATTTAAGATCAGTTTGGAGATGGATGTAGGATCCTCGGATTCAATTGTGCTTCTTAGTTGAAGAGTGATTGAGTCATCCTGCACAAATTTTGTTATCCCAACAAAATTAGAGAAAATATTGATAAAT